GCTATGAAGACACTTTGCAGAAACTGAGACGTGCCATAAAGTCAAAACGCCCTGGAATGCTACCGAACGGCATTATCCTTCTTCATGATAATGTGCGCCCCCCACACTGCCAACTCTGTGAGGAATACGCTACAGAGATTTGGTTGGGAAGTGCTTCAACATCCTCCCTACAGCCCACAACTTTCCCCGTGTGATTTTCACATTTTTGCAGACCTGAAGAGAGACATTCATGGATATCTGTTTGCATCAGACGAAGACGTGTCTGGTTGGGTAAAGATGTTGTTCCATAGACAGCCCATAAGCTTTTACAAGGATGGGATTGATTGTCTTATCTCCCAGTGGGATAAATGTATTAACAGTTTTGAAGATTACTTCTGAGGTAAGAAATGTTCTTTAATATGTTTTGGCTTCTGGCCCATTTTCATTTGACTGCCCTTCATGCATTAACAAGCACTCTGCAGAAGAAGAAAAACTCCGAAAGCTGCATAGAAAACTGAATAAGCTGCAAACCAGAAAATCCACACATGGATAATTGCAGAATGTAAATGTAATCAACAGATCAACAAAGATCCCTATACAGAAGATACTGTAATGTTCAACACAACTATTCAGTCAAAAGAAAAATGTAAAAGTTTTCAAGTTGTAAAGCAGTAACTTTTTCTGTCTGTAGTAAGATACAAATAAGATGACTAACGTGAATTTGCAAACTGGCAGTAGTCTGTGGACCACCTTTTGAGGACCACTGAAGAATGGTACTCAGGTCAGTGCTTCTGTGTTCATAACGTTTATAAAAGATGTGAACAGTGCTCTGGCAGCCAGGTTGTCCAGAGCTGAGGTGGGAGATACTTCTCAGAGACCCTGTGTTTAGGATGTATGGGATGTGTGGGATGACCCACAACACGATGGTTCATCCAGGTACCAGAAGGCATCAAGGAAAGAGGACAGAGCTAGAATGAAATAAAAAAGGAAATATTGTGGGAAATTGGAAGAAACTAGAGGCTTTTCTTTGATCACTATGTACAAAACAGAAATGTTGCTAGTAGAAGACATTTAACAAATGAGAAACTCAATGTGTCTTATATATAAGTCAGATATTTATAATGTTAACAATGTTTCCATAAACAAGAACATAGTCTGTTACTGTCATACAGATGGTGATGATATGGTTGCTAGTTTTTGTTCTGTAATGGCACTTTTAAATGATATTTATAGATAACCTCTTTCAATGCAACACAGAACATTTGGAACCTATAACAAACTTGTTCCAAGGGTGAGCACTACATTAGTTTTCGATTTCACGTGTGTTGCATCTTTAAAGAAGATTCACATTTGTAATTTTGAAGTTTTGTTATGGATTTCTTTTGTTCTGAAATACAAAGAGCCTCATTTATAAAGGCAATGGGAACTCTGAGCCTGTTTTTGTGTATAACATCCACATGTAATGAATTTTATAGACTTCAGAGGATGGCAGTGGAACCTTCCACTTACAATAACAGCTCCATGAAAGGAATAAAAGAAAGAGGGATGAAAATATGGAAGTCCATCTAGCAATACACTCAGATAGTGCAATGAAATATGTCATGGCCATTTATGGATTCCAAAGGTGGTAAATTATGGTGAGGAGTTAACTGTGTAACATTACAGAATTAACTTGTAGTCCTTATGCTTTCACAGCCAGTACTCAGTGTGTATGGCTTCAACTTTTGCAGCTTGACTGCTGTGGAGGTTGAGAGTTTTCCAATGTTTTGGCAAACCTTGCAGTTGCCACCTTCAGGTTTAATGACTTTGGGAGGGGTTTTGTCATTTCTTACAGTTTTTGCATTAGGCAGGGTGTAAGAGGTGAAACTGTAATTGAATGTACAGAGAAGCAGGATGCTACCCAACAGGGAACATAAATGTAGACCAGATTCCCAAGCAGTTATACCCAGTCCATCTCCCCATCTGCTACAAGTCAGCAGCTGTGGACTGTGTTGCAATGGACCCCAGCTTAGCACTACAGGGCCTTCTGTCTCAGTGATGACAAACAAACCAAAAAGTACAACTGGCTCTAGAAGATCAGGCCCCAATCCCAAATACAGATGCACACTGCACAGTTATGAATAAGTCCAGTTACCACCACCACCACCCTAGCCAGAGGCCTCAACTTTGCCACTACCCATAGCAGACAGTGTACACAGAGTAGAAGCTTCTATTGTCTACCTCCCACAAAGGACAGCAAAGGATGCCAGATATGAAATGGCATGCATTTTGAAGTAGGCACATCCTCCCAAACCAAAATCAACTACCAGAAAAGAGCAATCTTAAGAGAAACAGGACAACAAGGCCACCTGCATAATACAGGGTGATTCAGAAAGATGGACACAATTTCAATTGGCTATATTTCCTGAATTATATGTTCCATTTGAATTCTGTAAATTACATTTGATTATACATACATGGAAGTTTATAGATGTTCAATGTGCCCCCCTCTGGCTGCACGGTTAACATCTAGACGGTAGCTGAATTCATCCCACACTTGATGACAAATATCTTGCATCACTGAGTTCACCGCAGCTGTGATACGGTTTCTTAGGTCATTCAAAACAACTGACGCGGTGCTGGAGTGCTCTAGCGGTAATATTAGAAACTTTACAACATCCTCTTTCAAATGTACTTTACAGAATTCAAATGCAACATATAGTTCAGGAAATATAGCCAATTGAAATTGTGTCCATCTTTCTGAATCACTCTGTATAAAATGAGAAGGAGAATGACACAGACACCCTGAACTCTTCAGACTACCAAGGAAAACTCATGACACTACTTGCAGAACCCATATACAAGATACTCATTTGCAATACCATAAAAAAGTGTATAAACAGACATATAAACTAGTTTAGCTATAGCCAAACTCTCTACAGACAAAATACAGCACTGACAGAACAAAAGTCACAGCCAATATTGAGACCTACCATCACCATATCATCAGAGAAGTCACAAAAAAATTAAATACCCCCAAAAACTTTAACCATGAAGAGAGACACACACATTTCATAAAGTCTGGCTTCCCTTCTTCCCTCCTGTACCTACCACTGAACACCTTCAGCAAGCAATCACTGAACTGAATATTAGAGTCAATTTTACCAATCACACAACATATTTTTATTATTATTACACTACATGTTTCGACCTCAAGAGGTCATCCTCAGGTGTGCGAACACAGCTGTAGAATTACACACAATCACATTCGTCTTCTCACTTATTCTATCCTGTATCTTATTCAGGCTCACGCTCAATAATATATCAAGCTCTCTCATAAAACACAAGTTATATATATATATATATATATATATTGATATATTATTGAGCGTGAGCCTGAATAAGATACAGGATCGAATAAGTGAGTAGACGAATGTGATTGCGTGTAATTATACAGCTATGTTTGTACACCTGAGGATGACCTCGAGGTTGAAACATGTAGTGTAATAATAATAAAAATATGTTGTGTGGTCGGTAAAATTGACTCTAATATTGATTAAATACACAACAGGATGCAAGAAACAATTAAAATCACTGAACTCACTTCCTGTAAACCTGGGAAGGAACATACATAGAAAAGATGAAAAAAAATAAAATCTTCCATCGCCATACATCCTAAACAGGGGGTCTCTGAGAAGTATCTCCCACCTTAGCTCTGGACAACCTGGCTGCCAAAGCACTGTTCACATCTTTTATAAACCATATGTTCACGTAAATATTTCTCATTGCCTCTTTTCACTACCCACATAAACTCCGAACAGGTTGGCATCCTGTTCCTGTTTATCCACTCACAGTTCTACCTCTGACACACTGCCTACTGTGACAACTATATAAGAGATACAAAACCCATCCCAAAGTCATTAACCCCAAACACGGCAACAACAAGATTGCCGGACATGTTGGGCAACTCTCAATGTCCAATGTGGCCTAGTCCTGAAAGACAAAGCCACACATTACAGAAGAAGCTACCATCACCCTATATAAGCACACCATGGTTTCACTTTTACATTGACATTCAAACACAATTAACTTATATTATAATTAAACTGCATTCAATTTGTGAACCAATGAACACAAAGTGCTGCAGGCATTAAACTTGCCAGTTTTTTGCGGTCTTCAATTGACTGGAGGTACTGATGACTTCCACTTTTCTTTTCATTCTTACGCTGAAGCCATGGCTGGATTGAACGATACTGTGTATAGAAGTTGTTCATATCAGGAACCAGGTCCTTTATGACATACATATGTGGCAGTGGGTAGATCTTGGTGGACTTGCTCAGATTGGTGTCAATCTTGCTATAATGCAAAAATGTTGCACTGTATGTTCAGTTATAGCAAATATATATTAAATTGTGGTATACTGCCCTATTATGTCTTTCACTTCTTCTCTTCATCAGAACACACAATGTCATATTTGCATTTTATCTCTATTAATGAACCAGCCCTCTCGCTGTACATTATTTTATGATGGTATCAGGAGCTGGACTGTACATACAGCATCATATGGTATGATGATAAATGAACTGAGAACTGGAAGGGATTTTGGAAGGAAGCAGTCATGCCTTAATCAAGGTTTTATTCTGGAATTTACCTAGACAGACTGAAGAAAATAAAAAAATCCTCAAGGCAGAATTTGTTCCAGTTGAGATTCAAACCAGACACTTCCAGAACAGAAATATAAATCATTACCACTATGCCAACCTGCTCTATAAATTGTCTTTTGCTGGTTTTCTCTTAACAGTAACATACTATTCTGTAATCACGATCCACTAATCTTGATTAAACAGTCATTTCAAATGGGGAATAATGCAGTCAGTTCAGAATGAACAAAATAAATAAACAAATGAATAAATAACAGTGAAGAGATAAATTTGTATGCTGTAGATCAAAGTAGGTTTATTTGCTCTTCCTACAAGAAGTACTGACATCACTAACTTGTACAATGCATGGCAGAATATGGGGGGGAGGTTTAACTTCTGAAGAAGAGCAAAGAACATACATCAAGCAATATAGGCCAAAATTTGATATGATGATTAGACTGGCATTTGAGATACAATGACGTGCAGTCTGGTAGAAATTTACCAACAGCTTAGAGGAAAATGCTGCCTCCATCTTACGAGCTAAAGATTAAGTTGCACAAACACATAAGAGTTGCAGGCTTGCTAGATTGATTGATTGCTTGGCTTACTCTCTGACCCTGAAAATGGAGGCAGTATGTTCTTCTGGAACATCAGTAAACTTCTACCAGACTACACAATTTCACACCTCAGAAGACAGTGAAGCTCATACATTTACCTGATACAAGCCAGAGTGTTTATCCCGCCAATGTTCATAGCACAAGAACCACAAATACCCTCTCGACAAGAACGCCGAAATGTGAGTGTTGGATCGACTTCATTTTTTATTTTAATGAGTGCATCCAAAACCATGGGCCCACATCTGGAAAGTATGAATGTGCGTTGCAAGTGATACATTATTCTCTCATGGATGTAATGCAAACAGGAATATGCCCTTGATGTTAACCATTCCAGATGCAAATGTGCATTCCTCTTACTGACCTATATGTATTAGATTATGGAAAGCACATTTTACTATTTAAATATTATAAATGCATATGAACTTCAGGACAAGATAGATGCCTCATAAATATGACAAAAAGAGTAGCAAAGAGTTTATAATTACCATCACAAAAGCATCCACATTCTGTAATAAGCATTCTATATCCATAACAATGTCAGGTTCAAGTGGAATATAATAATAAGTGGTTAATTCTCACATGTTCAGATCTATGGTGTACTGCTGCATCTGAGGTTTGTCCCCAGATTTATCTGGGTTCCATCGATAAACTTCAAACTTCTTCAGCCTCTGCCCAGCTTCAGCTGCAACAGCTGCAGATACATGGACCTGATGTACCTGAAATATAACAATAATTTAAAAGATTTAGCTTCAGAGTTCTCATGTGAGATAATTTTTGTTGCATTATCCACAAACTGCTGGTAGCAGAAATGAGCTGACTGGAGCCTGTGCTGGGAATACATATTGGCTCAAATTAGGAAAACCAATTATTTTGCCAACAATCATGGAAGTTTATAAAGGAGACAAATGTAATGATTTTCTGTATACTGTAGCATGTAGTACTGCTGCCATGCAACGACTGTAAGAAGGAATATGTGTTGCTTGGTAACAGCCAGTGAACACGTCAACAATATCCGAGCTACTGCTAGGCAACCTCCCATAACAATGATAGAGGGATTGCTTGAGGCACTGTTTTCTGATGGCTCTGCCCAGAGGCAAGAACCACGAGCTGACTGGCTGAGTGCAGTGCAGTTCAGTTCAGCAGAGTGAAATGAAGTAGTTGGTTGAAGAGTGAAAGAGTCCAGTTGCGGAATATTCATCAAACAGTAATGACATGACAGCGGGAAGCTAAAGAATCCCCACTGTCAGAAGCCACTGCTGGGGAATGCCTGTTGAAGATCCAGATGGTTGAAAAAATGCTTAGCAGGTGCTGTGGTGATCTGTGAATTGTAGAGATTAGCAGTGGAACTGTAACTACTTGCATTTCTGAGTGGTGTATAAAAGTGGTCAATGAATCCAATATAAAATCCACACCCCATCTATAGTCACACCCCTTAACATGTTACAATATGTTTGCTACTTGTAAGGTAACATCCAATAAATTTGGTTGAGTAAATGGAAGTAATTATTTAAATTACAATTTGAGCTCCCATAGTCTGCAGTACCAAGGAGGTTAAGACTGAATCTGGGAGGATTCATAAAGCTACTACCAAGCTATTGTAAACCAGTTTATATGCAAAGCTCTCTAACAGGAGTAATAAATGTTTGATTACAACCAAATATCACAGTACAATATCTAATTACAAATATCACAATAAGATTTATAATTAAGTTTAACAATGATGATATGTACACTGCAATGATATTGAATACAAGTCATTTATTGTAGGATTCGGGGTTATCACAGTGGTGCTTACAAAGAGCTCTGTCTTCTGGGATGTAATGCCATGTACTCGTAGTTCGCTGAGAGTCAATATTTAGGTGGAACATGTCACCTCCATTTTCAGGGTCAAAGAATAGCCAAGGAAAAAAAAAAGAATGACAAAGAGCAGAAGATTGTGACAACATGTTCCTCTGTAACATCATTTGACTTTCAACAGACTACAGAGTGTTATATCCCAGAAGACAGAGTTCAAGTCAATTATTGCTCAGCAAAAGTAAATCTGGCTTCATTCCAGTTTAAATATTACTGGATTCATGCATTTGACAAAATCTTGACTTAAACGCAACATGGATTTCTAGAAACATAAGATGGAAAGTTTAATACTGTTGATATTTTGACACTGCTGCCTGCACAGTCTGCTGATTTCTCACTTTAAACATTTCTTGAAGTTTTCAACGAATGTCAGGCGGAGATTGCTTTTGGGGGTGGGGTAGGGGATGATTTTATAATATCAGTATCTAGACTATACAGCTTCAAATGGTAGGATGATAATATAAATACTGAATTGGAAAGGATTTGGGAAGAAGTGTCTGTGATCTATTAAGGGTGGGATTAACGAAAACCACTGAAAACCTCAGCCAGGAAAGCAGGTGGCCTAACCAACATTCAAATATCACCTGCATACAAGTCTATAGTGTTACTTTTTTTGTTTCATTCTGGTCCCTCACACTAACAATGTCATGAAAAGTTAAACAGTTCTGTCCAGTGTGACTGGTGAACATTTTTCTTATTTCAATTATTTATGCCCTTACATGTTTTGGTCTTCAGAAACCATCATCAGAGGGACACCTTTACAATATGTTCTAAATACATATAAAATAATATACAATTGGCTATAAAATCTAAAGTCTTTACAACTACAATGGCTGTTCCAATACCTTAAAATTTTTATAATTGGTTTGTTAAAGACTCTATGTGAATTCGTAAACCAAGCAGGTTCGTTGTCATCCCTCTTTATTAGTTCTCTTGTTTTTACAACACAGTGCACCACAAACACATACAGGACAATATTAAAAGAACACTCTTCTCGAGAACAAGGCGGCACACTTTCAGCCCCCATTACCTTTTCTGTCCAGTTTTGATTGCTAGATTCATCCAACTAAAAAAAAAAAAATCCCTTGGTTATCCTGCTATATTGTATTGTATTGTATTTATTAGTCCACCAGAGATCCATAAGAAATTAAAATTTCAGCGGATGCAGTTACCATCAATAAATATATACAGTCAGCCTTGCAAAATTGTACTTGTCCAACAAAAATTTCACAACTATGCAAAGTAACATGCTACAATTAATGCAAGAAAAAGTCAAACATAAAAGGCAAAAGATCATATATACATATTATTTCATATAGACCAAAAAGATTACAAAACAGTTAAAAATTAATATCATAAAACTCCTCCAAATTATAAAAACAATGAGAAACCATATATTTTTTAAGGTTCTCTTAAATTTTTTAGGTGACCCAATCAACACTTTAAGATAATAAAGTAATTTATTGAAAATTTTAATACCGGTAAAATATATGCCCTTTTGATATATAGTTAATCTCGAAAGAGGAAAATAATTTATAATAAAAAGTTTTTTATTCTTTACAACAAATAACAAAATAGAAAAAATATAATGTGATTTCAGTGGCAATATTTCCAATTTTTTAAAAAGAGCCCTACATGAAGTCCTATTTCCATGACCTGTCATTATCCATACAACTCTTTATTGCAGCTTAAAGAGTTTATCGCTGCTTGATGATAAACCCCAAAATAAAATACCATAAGCCACAACAGAATGAAATAAAGAATAATAGATCATTGTTAATGCAGTAGAGGACATACAGGGTTTAACTGCTCTAATCATATAACACACTCTGGTCAATCCCTTCATAAGCTTATCTGTGTGCAAATTCCAAGTCAATGTATCATCTATTATTAAACCTAGAAATTTAATATGGGAAACTTCAGTTATAACATTATTATTACAGGTCAATATAGTATCAGTTGATACAGTGTTTTTTGTTTTAAATTGCATACAATAGGTTTTTAAAAAATTAATAGTTAACAAATTTGATTTAAACCATTTGTGCACTATTTGAAAATTCATATTTAATTTAGCGTTTATATTATGTGTTTCTGTCTGTAATTATTAGACTAGTATCATCCGCAAATAAAATAGGCATAGATAACTTACTAATGGCCATTGGGAAATCATTTATATATAGCAAAAATAACAATGGTCCCAGGACTGAACCTTGAGGTACACCATGTTTGATTTTAGACCAATTTGATGTTAAGATCTGACCACGCTTTTAAATTTACATGCTGGCATCTATTACTTAAAAATTGCGAAAATAATTTATTGGTTGAACCTGTAACTCCATATATTTCTAGTTTATGAAGAAGAATATCATGATTTACACAGTCAAACGCTTTTTCAATATCACAAAAAATTCCTTTGACTCTAAATTTATTATTTAAGGCAGTTGAAACTCATTCAATAAGGCATAAACAGCACTGTCCGTGGACAAATGTTTTTGTAAGCCATATTGACTTGGACTAAGAATAGCATACTTGTTCAAATGATTCATCAGTCTGTTAAATATAACTTTCTCAACTATTTTAGAAAATGATGTTAGCAGAGAAACAGGTCTGTAATTTGATACTAATTTTTATCCCCTTTTTTATAAAGTGGCTTTATTATTGAGCATTTTAGTCTCTCTGGGAAAACACCAAATATTATAATTTTATTACATATATGATTAAGGGGTGAACTTATAAAAGGTGTACTCATTTTTAAGACCCTCAAAGATATCAGGTCATAGCCACAGGAATCTTTAGTTTTAAAAGAGTAAATGATTTTTCAATTTCTTCAGTAGTAACTGGTTTATTATAAATTTTTGGAAATTGAAGTTTTATTGCCTGTTCCATAAATGACAAGTAGTTCATTTCAGGTAAAGTATCAAGGCTGTTTGTTACTGAGTTTGCCAAAGTATCTGCTAATGATAGGAAATATTCATTTATAGTTTCTGCATCATTCTGATTACAGGATTTATCGATTAAATAATGGGCATCATCTTGTTTAGTACAAAAATTATCATATGCCATTTTCTTTCCTGCAGTTATAACCTTTTTTAACACTTTGCAATATTTATCATATGATTTAATGGATGTATTAACATTTTTTTTCTTCATTACGTATAGCTCCCTTTTATGTTTACAAGACGTTTTGATACCTTGAGTAATCCAAGTGATATCATTCTTTAATGTAGTGTTTTTTTGGGGGGGGGAACTTGCATTAAAGATTCTCAAATAAGTATTTAAGAAGGAGTTAAATAAAAGACTTGCATCCTCCCCCACAAAAATTTCATCCCTTAGTTGTAACAAAAATTCTGCAGCTGTAAAATCATTGATTTTTATATAGGAGTATGTCTGAAAATCTTTTTTTATCTTTTAGTGGAAGCACTATTTTGAGCAATTGGGCTTCATGGTCTGATAATCCGTTATGTAGAGACGAGACAGAATGATAATCATATCTGGAAATATCTATAAAGATATTATCAATAGCAGTACTAGTGCTAGGACATATTCTAGTGGGAAAAGTGACAATATTTATTAGATTAAATGTTTCAAAAAGGGCTTTTAATTGTTTCACCCTACTTCTTTCTTCCAAACAATATGTTAAAAGCATAATCATTTTGTTGTCAATTTGGTGCCCATACAGGGAAAAGATCTTGGGATGATATGGACCATCTTTAATGTCTAAATACAAAACTGTGTAATAATATTTTGAAATCCTTTTCATTCCTCTCAACAAATGGGAGGGGAAGAGCATAAAAACTTGTAACAAATGGCAGAATATGAATTTTGGCTTCATCAATCAAGTATTAATAAAAGTTTAAACTTG